TATATATATTACGGTAATAAATTATAATAAGCCATTTTCATTACATATTGAATAAAACATGTTTTGAGTATTTTAAATTTGCAGTTACCCTCTTTTGCTAATTATCATTATGAAGTCCTCATTAAATGTGTGCTGCAGCCGGTTTAATTAAGCAAAAGATGAGATTTGAGAGTTTCTTAATGATTTATTTGGAGATTATATCAGTTTGTTCCAAATGGACATACGGTATTTTTATTTGTGCAGGTTTTAAAAGGGTCTTAAAAAGCCTTAATTTGGATTTGACAAACCCTGCAGATACCCTTTAATCAAACTGAGCAGAGCTTCAGTTGGTGCTGTGTATCTATAGCCATCTAAATAGAAAAGGCATATATTGGTATTTTTGTCATTATTGTTAAAGTAGCTTCAGCTAAATAAATGTCAATTGAGCCATTTTCCTTCGATTTCCTCTTTTGCAGCTATTTTATGAGCTTTATTTAATTTCTGAAGCTTACATCTCACCTAATTGCACCCACACACCAAAGAGAGGCAAGCTCTGCAAACAGAACAATGTTTGGCACCACAGAGCCTCATTGTTTCAACCTACAGAACCACCTTCTAGTAGTAGTTTCAGTTTATTAAGCTGGGGAGGAGAAAGTATTTAAAACCTAAAAATTGATGTTGCTGCTTTAATGTCTCTGTGGTTTTCAGTAGTGTGCACAATGGTACCACTCTGTGGTTAAAGTTAGTATGGCATTAAATTGCGATTGTATTTCATACTGCAATTTCTGACATCCACAGACAGGGATGTTCAGTCAGAGCAGAGATTTTTACCCACGCTGCTTTGTGCCCACAGCTGGATTCATAAATGTACAGTGAGCATTTCTTTTGGGCACAGATTTGAAGGGATGCTTTTCTGCAGGGGATAAAGGGGTCGACAGCACTATAATTCTGTTGCCTCCACAGATTCTTTTGTGTTGTGAAAGATTTGAAAAAATTGCACCTTCCACTTTTTGGTTTTTAGGAAATGTTAGATTGCATTGCACTGAAAGATTGTGGGTTTTCGGTGCTGCATCTGATTGACTCTTCCAGATGTCATATTGCTTTTCACTTCTGCTTATTCAGTTGGGTTCCCTTACAGGGAAAGATTCAGCACAAGTCTTCAGATGCCACTCTGAATGGGTCTTTGAGTCAAAGCGGGTCCCCTTACAGATCCTTCAGCATCACTCAGATGGTGGAAGAGGGGAGTGTGTGTTTAAATTGAGAATCTCAATAATCTTGGGATGATTGTCTGTGGTTTTGTTTTGGTCTGTCATTATGTGAGTCTTGGGGGTTTATTTTTGCTGTGTGATTTATTTTTGTCAGCAGATTGAGAACCGATTCAGTCCTCAGTCAAAACAAACCGAGATTGAGAGGAGATCTGGTCAGAGAAGTGAGCAGACGGTGGACAGCAGGGCCCTGCAGGTTTGTGGCTACAGAACATATGTTTGCTTTAACAGCGTCACTCAACAAATCTAACAAAAGTTCTGGTTTTCTCATCAGGACTTCATGAGACTGGATAAAGACACCATGACTGGCAGATCTCTTTGTTTAACATCTCCATCATCCCATCAGAAACTAACAGTCACAGTAACTGCTTTTTCCCCCCTCAGCCTTCCTCTGCTCTCCTCAGGATCTGCCTCTTAATTTGTCCTCACTCTTTCGGTGGATGTTTAATTCAGCAGACATGCTGCATTGCCAGACATCTAATGGGCTTTTACACTCCCTCTGTCCTTTGGGAAATCTCTCCGTTCTCTTTTGTTTCTTCCTTTTCTCCCTTTATTGCGCTGACTTTCCAGATCTGAGAGCTCTAACCTCTGTGAAATGTACAAAGGAAAAAGCCAGGAAAATGAATATTTTTAACTGTAGAGAGATGGTATATTTTTATTCCTCTCTTCCTTATTTTAAAGGTAAAAAGGTAGTGTAAACTGTGATCAGCATTGACGTTTGGTAGGTCAGATGGAGAAAAGAGCCTATGAGTTCTATCAAAAACCTGGCTTTCTTGTTTCTGACTCATGTGTCGAAGATGTTAATGCTGTGCGCATGAATGCAGCTCACATGATGCTTAAGCCCTGTACGGCTGAGCTGCACCGTTACATATCTTTTGATATATTTCAATCCTGAAGCAGTAGGGAAAAAATACTTATCAAATGTACCAATCATTGTGATACTTGTTTATTATTATTTTGAGAATCTGAGGAAATATGCTTAATTGTCATGAAAATATAATTATAAAAAACATTATTATACACTATCATTCAAATGTTTAGGGTCAGTAAGACAGAAATTAACCTTTATTCAGCATGGATACATTGAATTGATCAAAAGTGACCGTAAAGACATTTACAAAAGATTTCTATTTATAATAAATGCTGTTCTTTTGAGCTTTCTACTAATCAAACACACCCTTAAAAAAAAGTATCACAGTTTCAGTATTGATAATGTTTCCTGAGCAGCAAATCAGCATATTAGAATGATTTCTGAAGGATCATGTGACACTGAAGACTGGAGTAATGATGCTGAAAATTCAGCTTTGTCATCGCAGGAATAAATTACATTTTACAAGATTTGAAAACGGTTATTTTAAATTGTAATATTTAAAATTTCTAACATATTTTGGTTATATACAGAATTTTTATATATATATATATATATATATATATATAGCCTTTAAATTCACTCTTGCCTCTTGCACTGTGATTTGTGTTTTCCACATGACTTACAAATCTGTCATGCTTTTCATGAGTCTGGGCTGGTATTCCTCTATTCCTTTTCACTCCATCCTCCCTCATATTTTGTTTGCCGGTTTCATTCTAAATTCTCTTCCTCTTTCATTTGTAGACTCCACATTTACGAGTTTGTTTTTTTATTCAGGTGGGGGTTTTTTTTAGTTTTATTTGTTTTGTTTTTTTCTGGCCAATAGGAACCTGTGACGGATGTTCTTTCAGAGATGTTTCCTGACACTGCCAGAACCCCCACTGGAATCTAGTGAGTACCATCTGTGATACTTTGCTCATAACTGAGTACTACCATTGTTTGCAAACTATTGATTTGCATGCCTATATTGCAATTCACCATTGTAAATATGTTCTAAGGTCTTTTTGTTCCGCCTGCAGTGCTACAAAGAGACGGCCAATAAAGGGAGCTGCAGGCCGCCCTGTGCAGTTTAAATACCCTGAAATGACGCTACTCAGTCCCACTACACTGGAGAGGCAGGAGATTCAGCAGCGTCTGGTGCCTCTGTGGGTTCAGATCATGGTCTTCCTCCTGGTGGTCTGCCTGCTGTACCTCATCTACTCATCCATGGAGGAGCCGCTCTCCAATCCTTTCACTGCTCTGCTCGAAGGCCTGCATGAAGCTGCTCTCATATCCACCTCACAGGACTAATCTGCCACGGACACAACAGCTTAGGTGTGCAACACTGATGCCAAAGAAGGTTCATTCAAATTGACCTCTGGCTCTAGTCAGCCAAGTGTCCTTAAGAAGATTATCTTTTTAAACTGGTGTCAGAGACTTTGTGTGATCGGACTGAATGAAACTCAAAGAGAGCTACATCAGAACACCTGCATTCTCTGCTACAATGCCTGCCTTCAAAAACCATATAGGATGATAAACTTGAATTGATGAGACATGTAGTTGGCTAATCCTGTGCATGGTGTGTTTTTCTCAGATTAATCTTTTACCATAGATGTTTATTTGAGTTTAACTCACACAGAAACAATCACATTCTTCTCTTACAGTCTTACACAGCTGGACTAATGAGTCATATATGATATCTTGCCATTTTTAATGTGTACTTTTTGTTTGTTCGTTTTATTTGTGAGTAAATAAATGTTATCCTAAGATTCTTTTCTGTGTACTAATAAAGATACACATGCAAATTAATTTATATTAACACCTGGAGAGTCTCTAGATGCCAAATTTGTGTAAATAGGACCAATGGCCCTGAAAAATACACAGCCAAAATGGGAAAATTATTAAATTAGCTTATTAATAGCAGTACTGTGTGACCCTCTAAAATGTGATGTAAGGGACCAATAGATTAATAAAGGCAGTTATTTGGAGTACTGCAGCTCAATATTCTGTAGATTATTTCAAATTGATTATTTATTCAATATCTAATGATCTATAATATTGTTCAATATCTTTATTGCTCAGACTGATTACTCTATTCCTGGTTACTCAGCAGATGGTTAAAAAAAATCTCAATTGCTTTATATGTGATTAGCTCTATACCACACAAGACCTGGCCCCTTGTGTTGCATCACCAGTTAGGCAATAAAAAATGTGAACCCTGATCATGCAGATGACTCCTGATGACTCATTACTTCTGAAAGCTGAAGATCAAAATCACAAAGAAGACCATTTTGAACCATTTTGCTTCATAAATTTGATGGGGAAATGTAACAACTAAGTATTTGATGTGTTTTACTTGGACAAAAAACAAACAAACTTGCAGACATGCAGAATATTCTGAATAGGAATGTGGTTATTTTCAGATTATGCAAAATTAAAGGGGTCATATGATGCTGCTAAAAAGAACATTATTTAGTGTAATGCAATGTTACACATTATTTTCCACATACTGTACATTATTGTTTCTCCTCTATGCCCTGCCTTTCTGAAACGCGTAGATTTTTACAAAGCTCATCGATCTGAAAAGCGAGGTGTGCTCTGATTGGCCAGCTATCCAGTGCGTTGTGATTGGCCGAATACTTCAAGCGTGTGACGGAAATGTTACACCCCTCACCATACTGTGATGCCCTGTCCGGCCGGAGCGATGAGACAAAAACATTAAAACCTATTATAAACCAGACATTTGTTGCATCCAGTGGTTACATAATTACGGATTATAATGACTTATACTTTCTTTTTACGCGTTGCATCGCGCCGCGTAAACATAAAACCATGTCTGCATTTGTGATCGGAGAAATGACAAACAACTACTGCTACTCTACACTTCTCAAAACTCGCGTTTGAATCGTCAGTGGCAAATTCTTTATATATAAAAAAATTTACTTATAGTCTGTGAGTCAGAACAGCCGGCAACAGTCCTCCATAAAATGTGCTGCACACATCTGAATATTTGGGTTGAACTGTTCTGGAACGGTGTTGTAAATACAACTTAACCACTAATTTCTAGTTGTGTCCTCTTTTGGAAGACCAAACAAAGTAGTTTCGCTTTCACAAGGAAACACACAGCGTCTTCACGACATGGCGGCAGCAACAACAATACTACAGCGAGAATAAAAGTTACGCCTTCTTTCTTTGCGTGAACATTTGGGCGGCGTTATGCAAATATTCCCACATCGTGACGTAGATATGTGGGGGCGTGTTAGAACGAGCCGTTTTAGGTAGGTGTGGCTGACTCTTAACTTTTATAAAGAATATCTCTTTGGATTTGAGACTTTAGTCTTTGCAACTTTACAGATCTTCTTTATGCACCAAGAGCTTGTAACACTCCAAAGAGAAAGGACTAATTGAAATCGCATCATATGACCCCTTTAAAATATTAAATTAAATGCCCTGATTGGTCAATATTCAGATTATAAGAAATCAGAGTAAAACAGCTTGCATGCCTCTGTTAACCCTGTAAAGCCTGACAGCCTGGTTTTTATTGTGAGGTGAGAAACATATAATGCAATGCAATACAATGGTGACTGAGAGATCAAATAGCTCATCATAGCTCATTTCAAAAAAAAAAAAATAAAAAAGATAATCAAGTAAAACTAAGTTGTGTCAGTACACTAAGTGTTCATCTTGAAATATTACTAACAAAAGTTATATTTGCGTTTACTTTATAAAAATCAGTCGATTTTACAGCTAAAATACATGTGTACCATGAACTGAAGGTGGATATTTTTACAATTACACTACAAGGGCTTTTGTTTGCTTAAAAAGGATTAACTATAGTATATAGTAGATTGTGAACAACAGGTTTTCCAGCAGTTTTGATCATGTTGATAATTTAGAGCCCTTATAAATTTGCGTATGAAAAATGATACAGTAGGATTTATAAAGTTAAGTACTGTTTTTGCAAATCATTGTGCTTTTGTCTGTGAAGAAGATAAATGAGAATTCAGGGCTTAAAAACCTCACGAAAATCTCATTTCAGAATAAAGGCTTAATTAGAATACGGACCTTAATCAGAAAATTATGTGCGTATAAACATGGTCAGATTTTCTCCCACAGTAGCAGTTCAGATTCCCACAGTGTCATTTTCAGAGTCAGAGCAGAACATAAGCGCCCTGCAAGAGTTTGACCTGCTACTGAGGAGGGGAGAGAAACCGATGATTTATGGATTATTTTTGCATGCTTTACATGTGAAAGATGGTGTCATTAAAGATGGTTAATAATGAATTATTTCTTTCTCAGTCTTCCCTAAGATCTTTTCATCCAGCTTGGTCCAACATGAAATGGTGGGAAACTACAGCCACCTGTTGACGGTATCAGGAAGCGAGCCTGATCTGGAGCCCTACATGCTGCTGGCACACATTGATGTTGTGCCGGCCGATGAGGCGGATGGATGGGATGCTCCTCCTTTCTCTGCTCAAGAGCTCAATGGCTTCATTTATGGATGAGGAACCATTGACAATAAACAGTCTGTGATGGTACAGTGAACCAGCACTGAATCACTTTTCACTGAAACAATGGCACATCTGTTCAGTCCAACCTGATGCTAACTGTAATGATGTATGTTTTGCAGGGGATCCTTCAAGCGTTGGAATACCTGCTGGAATGAGGTTACACTCCTCGGAGAAGCTTCTACATTGGCTTGGGTCACGATGAGGAGGTCAGTCTAAATGCCAATCATAGTTTATCTGGTAATATCCCAGCAGAAATGCAGCTGTTTATTTGGTTTTCTCAGATCAGTGGCCCACAAGGTGCTGTGAATATTGTGAAGCTCCTGAAGAGTCGTGGGGTGAAGCTTCTGTATGTTTTAGATGAAGGCCTCACGATTGTGGATGGTGTGGTAGATGGCCTGATTGGACCTGCTGCCCTGTGAGACTATTGTTTTACTGCATTTTTATGATAATTTAGATATTGAACTAGTGTGTAATTTATGTCTTGTGTGTTTTTGTAGAATTGGTGTAAGTGAGAAAGGTAAGGCCACAGTAAAGCTGAGTGTCAGTACTCCTCCGGGACATTCATCCATGCCACCTAGTGAGAGTAGCATTGGCATATTGGCTTCAGCAGTTACAAGGCAATAAATACAATTAATATTTACTGTAATATGAAAACTGTGAACATGGTGATCTTAATTAAAAATAAATGTTTTGCATCTCTAATGGGTCTGTTCATGGTCAACATGATCTTACTTTTTTTTTTTGAAAGAGCAAGACAGAATGGAATAAACCCAATGCAAAAGCCATTACCAATGTCTATCTGGCTGGCACATTTACATAAAAAACAACTATTATACTGTATTATAGTAAAATACCATGAACCTTCTTTGCATTTATTTTGCCATTCTACTCATTTAGTTACATTGTGGTGTAAAGTACTGATTTTCATGACAATATGAATTTTTTGTAATTAAAATTAATATTCTTATAATTATGACAGAATTTCGTATTCATAAATGTGCATTTACTATTACAAAATATGGTCTTATTAAATTAAGCCAGGCTCTCCACTCTCTAAATAAACAAGCTAATTTCACTTAAGAAAAATAAAAATTTTAAGAAATATTTATGAGCTTTATAAAGTATTTATTTTAATTATGCATTTTTCTTTTTCTTTGTTTCTGATTTTTAAGCAGTTTTATACAAATTTTTGTATAATGTTTAATTTTTTAAAAATGTATTATGTTGATGTTTACTGATAAAAAAAGAAAAAATATTTTGAACAAACAAACAAATATGTACATACATAAAGTAATTAAGTAATTCTTTGTAATTGGTTAAAACATTTCCCAGGTTGGAGAAGAACCGGTTGCCCAATTTTTTTGGTCATGGTCCAGAGCGTGCCACGTTTGAGCATCTGGCACATAAGGTAATAAAACAAACATGATTTAAAATGCTTATGACACTCCTACAAATACTGAATTGCTTCATACTTTCTCTTTTGCCTTCTAGTTTGGCTGGCCATACAGAATGGTCATGTCTAATCTGTGGCTCTTCTCTTCGCTGCTCAGCAGGTAGGCCATGTTTTTTGCTCACTATAGTAACTAATGAGTACATGCTCTGATCTGTGGTACTTTCAAATCACATGTGCAGTGTTTTGGAAGGACAGCCTGACACAAATGCATTTGTGAGGACAATGTTTAACTCTGGTGTTAAGGTGGGCTGCCATTCACATCATTTAATTTCTGTTTATACATATATTCACATATATTCACAAAAAAATACTCTTAGCATTAATGGAGATCCAACTGTCTCTCTCTCTCTCTCTCTCTGACAGATTAATGTAATGCCAGCTGTAGCGAATTTAGCTCACAACAGGAAATATGAATAATTAACCATAACTAATTATGATTAATTATTAATATTTTAGATCCACTGTAGATATTTAGCTGACCACTCAGGGTCAACCGTCTTGTCAATTCTAAGAACGTTAATTTCCTGGTTAAAGGAAATAACTTTCTTACTGTACAATTCTATAAGTTTGTAACGTAAATCTGCATGATTATTAAAAAATACTCTTAGCATTAATGGAGATCCAACTGTCTCTCTCTCTCTCTCTCTCTCTCTCTCTCTGACAGATTAATGTAATGCCAGCATATGCTGAGGCCTTTGTCGATTTCCGCATTCACTCTTCCCAGACACTGCATGAGGTGAGAGGTCAGCATTAGCACATTTACTGAAGGAAATACCAGTGCTTGAAAGTGACATCAGCTCATATGATGAGGATCCATTCGGGTACCAGATCATAAAGAAAACAGTGCATGACATTTTTCCTCAGGTCACTGTATCTCCTGGTAAGGCTTTCAGCATTGTGTCATTAAGTACTGCGTGTTTGCTCTCTTTAGTAAGAGCTCAAGGGGTTTAAGTGGCCCTTACATACATCATTGACTCACGAAGAGCTACTCTCGCTCTTAGTCTTGTCAACAAACCAGCTCTACGATTTCCTCTCACAGGTATCTGCGTGGGCAACACTGACCGGAGACAGTTCTCCGGTCAGTGTTGATGACTCACTACACAGAACTGTCTCCGGACATTTATCGTTTTGTCCCATCATGGTACAAACCTGGTGATTCTGCAAGGTAGAACACACGGAAATGCTGAAGCGACATACTGTCTCATGTACAGTAAATAAAACTAATTATTAAACAGCTTATACTTCCCTTTAGATTCCATGGTGTGAATGAGAGAATCTCCATCCAGAACTACGAAGAGATTGTGCTGTTCTACTTTCAACTCATGCAGAACAGTGACATCAGAAACTTTCCGGCACCTCGCATCTAAAATAAGCAGATGCCATGCTGTGGAATTCTGTGGAAGCTTTGTTCTAGTTATTCAAAGTTTGGGGGCAGTAAGATTTTTTTTTTTTTAAGAATTTAACACTTTTATTCAGCAGGATGCTTTAAATTGATCAGAAGTGACAGTAAACATTTATAATGGTACACAAGATTTCTATTTCAAATGTTCTTTTGAACTTATCATCAAATAATCTTGAAAAATAAAGCATTTTCCACAAAAATATTAAGCAGCACATCTGATTTCAACATTATTATAAAGAAATCTTTCTTGAGCAGCAAAACCGCAGATTTCAGAAGGATCATGTGACACTGAAGACTGGAGTAACACAGCCATCATTTTACATTTTAAAATATATTAAAATAGAAGTTATTTTAAATTATACTAATATTTGACTATATTACTGTTTGCATGTATTTTTGATCAAATAAATGCAGCCTTGGTGAGCACAACAGACGTTTTTCAAAAATAATAAAATATAAAAAAATATTATCAACCTCAAACTTTTAAAAATTACTGTAAATATATTTTCTTAATTTGCCTGTTAAAATGGTGTAAAATTATATAATGGATAGTAAAAAAAAAAAATAATAATTCTCTTGATATAAATTATTTTCTAGAGAATCTTTAGGTAGTTTTTCCCTGGTTAAGTAAACATTTTACTACATTAAAATACAAATCATAAGGTTCATGCCATACCAATGTAAGCGTGAATAACATTTCTTGCATTTCATGATATTTGTCTTCAGGCAAAACCACAGGGATTGAAATTATTTTTAAAGCTGTTTTAGGTTTAAAAGTTCAAAAGGGCTTCTTCTGTCCGTGCAAAATACTCCCAATATTTCAGTTACTGAAAAAATAACTGTTCTTGAAAAAAATATCTGAAATGCTGTTCACTAGCTATTGTGTTAGTGCTGAGTGACTCAAGGTTAATTCTGAGGCCAGTCACAGCACACGCAGAGCTTCTTTGTGAATGAAGGACATCAAGTCAGCTGGTTTGCACGTTGTTTGTCTACACAGACCACTGCTCCTATTCACTGAATAGAAGATCTTAGGTAGCAGGTTATTGCATTTTTTATGTAATGTTTCTTGTGTATGTCAGAGTTTATATTTTTGACTTTGCTCTGTCAAGCTGTCAATGATTAATAATTCAAACATTACATAAAAAGGAGCAGTATCCAAATGTTTGTGGATCTGGCTGAGAGGATAGTTGCCCTACAGAACTAAGTTACAGAGAGCAGATAAAGACTTCTTTAAAATGACAAAGCCTTTATGTACTTTATAACCTCTGTTATGTATTTTACCTTTGTCTCATCGCTGTCCTTGGTGTCAAACTCTAGTCAATAATTTCCTTGCTTGCATCGAAAGTAACCTTTAAAGGAAGCGCAGACCTGGAAATTTTTTTATATATATATATGTATATTATAAATAATTCAGAAACAAGGTTCACTACAACATTACTGCATATTAAACAGCGCTGGTTTAAAGTAGTAGTCTATGCAGTGCTATATTATACTATAATTAAATTACATGGTTGAATAATGAGCTGAGCCTCATGTTAAGGCTATTAAATGTCTCACATTAAGTCCAGCCTTTCAGAAGGAACTCAATTTTCATGCACAAACAGTCATTTATTTACTTCCCTGTTGCTTTTCACCAGTCTGCTATTGTCTGCAATGAATCTTGTATTACCTGTCATCTATAAATATGCCCTACAGGTGATTCTTATTGTGCAAATCACATTTGCCACATAACTGAATGTTTTTCTAAATTGTAATGTAGAAAAATTATGTTAATATTGTTATTATTGATTAAAGCTATTTAAAATATTTTTGTTGACTGAAATACAACATAAATAAAATATGATTTATATTTTTGATTTATTTATAAATAAATATATTTATTTTAAAATTACAACAACAAATAAAACTGAGACTGTGGCAATGTCTCCAAGACACTTGAAGAAACCTTCACTGCAAAAACAGATGTGTCAAAAACAACATGGTTGTGTTGACAGCATTCTGACACATGCTGTGTAGGATTTTAACACACAATGTGTAATTTAAAAAAAAAAGTCTTTGGACATATTGACACAATAAATGTGTTATCTCCTAGGCCGGCAGTTTGTGTTTATGGAAATAAATACAATACATATATTTCATATGGTAGCACATAAAAAGCTCTAAAATTACTAAAAACCATTCATAAAATAAATATACATGGTTGTGTTGACAGCATTCTGACACATGCTGTGTAGGATTTTAACACACAATGTGTAATTTTAAAAAAAAAGTCTTTGGACATATTGACACAATAAATGTGTTATCTCCTAGGCCGGCAGTTTGTGTTTATGGAAATAAATACAATACATATATTTCATATGGTAGCACATAAAAAGCTCTAAAATTACTAAAAACCATTCATAAAATAAATATACAATATATACATCTCAATATATTAAACTTAAAATATTAACGGCTATTTTTTTGTCGGCCAATCACGTCGTGCCTCTCGCCTTTTTAAACTGCGGCGGATCCCGCTCTTTTCACTCTGGCTGGTCTGGTTTGAGGGGGATCACTATGCTGTCGGACTCACATCTATCCGTAAGTTACAGCAGATACTCTTTAAAATGCATAGTGCTGCAAAAATCGATCATTGAAATAGTTAGCTACCAAATACATTATTAATTAGTTGGAAAGTGGCGACGTGCACTCGTGAAAAGTGTTAGCGAGGCTGAGCGCACAACTGGAAAGAAGAAGAGACGCTGAAGCAGGAAAACATGACCACACACGTTGTCTAGCACACCAGATCATTTTATAAACACCTAAAAGAGGATTATAAGTGAACAATTTAACGTGGAGCGTTTGAATGCAGCATGTTCCAGTGCCAAATGAAGAAGGGTACAGTTATCAGTGAATTATTGGGTTAATTTACAAGGCCATAGTCAAGAGCACCCAACACTAGATACTTTAAAGCCCTGTTGGGAAAAAGAGAGGAGGAAAATTAAAAGTTTTGGTTGGGCAGTGATACAGAAAGCAACAGAACTTGAAGTTAATCAGTTAAATGTTAGTCCAACTGTACCGCTACCTGTAATAAAACCTTGGTTACTTTCAGATGCTACAGTAGATTTTACATTGTTAGAACAGAAAAATAAGGGTAAGGAATGTAATTTATATAATGTTTAAATTTATGAAATTGAGATTTAGAACATTTTGTTGTGCCTCTGTGCATGCATTGGTCTCTACCCTGAACATTTTTGACAAATTAAATTGCTAACACTTTTACATCTGTCTGTTTTATTTCAATTTTGTAGAATTACAAATTGATGGTAATGCTTATTATTTTTGTCATATTAACACATTAATTGGCAGTTTTTGATAATTTTCAGTTACACACAAATGTGTTTAAATGACACGTGTGTTAAATTACATTACACAGTAGATGTGTGATCCATCTTAACACACAAATTGTGTTAAATTTGACACATGTGTTGTCCCTGAGCACACCACATGTTAAAATTCTACACAACATGTGTCATTTTTAACACATCTCTTTTTGCAGTAAGTGTAAATAATAGAATAGAAGTTAATTGATCAATAAAATCTATTTATGCCATTATTTTTGAAAGCATCCTCACTTTACAGCATTTTTACACAAGTGCCTAAAACTTTTCACAGTACTGTGGCTTTGTAGGTAGTTTCTAGAAAAGCATCTTGGAGACGTTACCACAGTTCTTCTGGATCTAGTCTGTCAGTTGTTTTTTCTTCTCTCTGGATTATTACAATTAATGGCAAAAGTCAGTAAATGTAGACTGATATTTCCTACTGACACACCACAGCAAAAGATAAAAATAACTGGGTTAAAAACTTTTTTGTTTGTACAATCTCCGGCTCTTTGTCATGTGATGCTAATCCACAGCAGCAGATGGCGCTCGAGCTGCGGCATCGGTGAGCTATTGAATAAACATGAACTCTACACATGAGACGACTTGTCTTTCTCACTTCCTGAAACATGACAGGAATACGTTTCTCAAAGTGCTGCTGTTTAGTGTCATATTTTGATTACAGTTTTGTTCCTTGTTGCCACAGTTAGGACGATTACATTTGATGTGGACGCTGGGAAAATACAACAGCCATTTCTCTTAATTTAAGTCCACAACAGAGAAAGAATCTGCTGGCAAATTTCAAAGGTAACAAACAACGAAGCAATACTCCGAAGCAGTACCTCTCTGTCCCGACTGCATCACGTGGCGTGAATAGCTGGATCAGGAAGACAGTCAGTTTTCTTGCTAGATTTAGCAACTTTTCAGACTACCCTAGCAACTTTTTCTTCCAAAAGCACCTAGCAACAAATTTAGCTTTTTTTATTTATTTATTTAGCAACATTTAGCAACTTTTGATAAGTGACTCAAACGATAAAAAAGGCACACATTTTCCATCTAAATTACACAAAAAAAGGAAACCAAAGGTGCCTAGCAGTACACAATTCACATGAATTAAGTTGGCTGCTATTAGCAATTGTTTAATTTAATAATAATAATAATTGAATAATTGTTCATTTATGATACACCTTGTTAGTCGCTTGTACTTGAGTTTGCTGATCAGTTAGTACACGGTAAGAAAAATATCTAGAAAAATTTAGTAATTTTCCAGGACATTTTCCATTATCCATAATAACCCTGTAAACCGAAAACACAAAACACAATGCGTAATTTAAAATGTAGGTAAAAAAAAAAACGTGTGAATAATAATTACGGAAAATTCCTTCATATTAATAGATTTTGCCCTATTTTTACAGACTTTTCTTAGAGTGTAGCATACGTACTACTAATACACTGCTTAAATCTATAATTGTTCAGAATGAGTAGTTTTACTAGCTAATAAAAATAAACTTAAATTGTAATTGTTAAAAAAATGTGAAAGTGTTAAATAATTCAGTGTTGTATTTCAAATTAGTTATTTATATTTTATTATATTATGCATTTATATTATTTTATAAACGCATCTAAATTAACATTAACATTTTTTTTCTGATATTTGATGCAGTGACACAATTTTGCATCGTGATTACGCAATGACGACACCGCGCCTTTTAGCAACAAATCAATCTTCCTTTAGAAACTTCCCCTGAAAATTAGTTGGCAACACTGGACAGAGTTAAATACACAGTTAAGGTTGATAAGGGATGTGCTGTCAACATGCGAAGATTGCTGCTGTAGATATTACAAATGATGTAATGTCTTGTTTTCGTCTCTTTCATAGCGGCCATTCAGATTCCCACTGTGCCATTTCCCGAGACTAATGTGAACAGCATGCTTCCTAATGGGTCCAAATTATTCCCAAAACAGCTGCATGACATCAGTATTATACTAAGCTACATTTATTTAAGCCATATTGTACTTGGTAATATATTTTCCCAGATTGGAGGAAAATCCGATGCCCAGGCTGTTTGGTTATGGTCCTGAGCGTGGGCACATTTGAACACCTGGCCCATAAGGTAAAAAGCTGAGGATTTTACAGACCACATTTTGGGAAATACTGACCTGTATTCTGTATATGTGAAAACTATTTATCTTCTCCATTTTCTTTTGTAGTTTGGTTTGCCTCTCAGATTCATCATGTCTAATCTGTGGCTCTTCTCTCCGCTACTCAGCAGGTAGTTCATATTGGTTACCTTAATGCTCACTACACTAACTAATGTCATATCAAATTATATTTTATACAGGATTTTTTGGACCTCCAAAGACAATTGAATACATTTATGGGATTTTTTTCCTCCAGACATGACTGTCATCACATCCCATTCTGTACTTTTATGAGAAGCTTGTTTTTTTTTTAATGAGAATCTTATTACACAGGTCAGGCTTTTATTAAAAACTTTATTCATCAAAGAATCCTGAAAAACTGTATCATGGTTTCCACAAAAATATTAAGCAGCAAGTTTTTAACATTGATAATAATAAGGTATCTTTCTTAAGCACCAAATCAGATTTTTCTGAAGGATAATTTCTGAAAAATCATGTGACACTGAAGACTGGAGTAATGATGCTGAAAATTCAGCTTTGCCATCACAGAAATCAATTTCATTTTAAAATATATCATAGAAAACAATTATCTGAAATTGTAATAACATTTAACAACATTTCTGTTTTTACTGTATATTTGATCAAAGTAATGCTTGTTGAACATAAGAGACTGACCGACTTATATATATATATATATATATATATATATTCACACAGTGGAGATCAAAATTAGAGAACCTGCAACTTCCTAAATTTTGAGGTCACTGCTTAGTCATATTTGAAGTTATCCTAACAGGAGTAAAAGTGCAGTTTTTTAAAGCATATTTCATGAGTTAAATATATTCTGAAGCACAGTATAAAAACTTAAATGAGATATTTGAAAAAGAACAAAATTAGAGAACACTTTCAGATACCTCCCAGTTAGTGGTGTTAATCCGGCACCTGGTGCTAATGTCTTTAATTATGTCAAACCCTATTTAACTGGCAGTTATTTAACTGGAAATTTAACTTTCCAGTTCTCACTGACTTTGTAAGATGGTGAGCCGTTCTAAAGTGACTGAAACCCTCCGACAGCAGGTTGTCCAGATGAAGGCCAATAGCAGCCATTGCAAGAGAAGCTGGTCATTTTAAATCTGTGATTTCTATAATATTGCATCTTTACAATGTCACTAACTCATTCAAGTCCCCCAAAAAGGCTGGTCGTCCACAAAAGACAAATGCACGAGAGGACAGGATAGTGCAGAGAATCTCAATGGGCAATCGGTTCAACACTGCAGCTGGAATTGCTTGCCAGTTCAGTGCTGAACAGGGTAAGGATCTGTCTCTGCATGTTTAAGAGCAGTCGGACTGAAAGTGTACTCTGCAGTGACGAAGCCTCTCATCAGCTGAAAGAATCAAAAGTCTAAGCTCACCTTTGCTGAGGAGCATGTTGCATGGACAGAGGAGAACTAGTCCAAAGTTTACTTTAAGATGGAGGAGGAAGTGTCCTGGTTTGGGGGATGTTTTCTCCAGCTGGAGTTGGGCCTCTTATACAGCTACATGGCAGGGTGAATGCAAATGTTTATCAGAACCTCCTGCAGAGTCCTGATCTAAACCCAACTGAAAATCTCTGGAAAATCCTTGGTGACAAAGTTATGGCTAAGAAACCCACTACAGTCACCAAACTGTGGAAGAGCAGTGTGAGAAACTAGTGAAGTCCTGCGGCCACAGATGTGCTGAAGTCATTCAAAGCAAGGGCCTCTACACTTCCTACTCTATTTTTGACTGCTTTAACCTTCAGAAATTTTAGTTGTAATCTTTCTTTGTGCTACAATCATTGCTGTTCTCTAATTCTGATCACTGTGTTTGTTGTCCAGATGAAGGCCAATAGCAGCCATTGCAAGAGAAGCTGGTCATTTTAAATCTGTGATTTCTATAATATTGCATCTTTACAATGTCACTAACTCATTCAAGTCCCCCAAAAAGGCTGGTCGTCCACAAAAGACAAATGCACGAGAGGACAGGATAGTGCAGAGAATCTCAATGGGCAATCGGTTCAACACTGCAGCTGGAATTGCTTGCCAGTTCAGTGCTGAACAGGGTAAGGATCTGTCTCTGCATGTTTAAGAGCAGTCGGACTGAAAGTGTACTCTGCAGTGACGAAGCCTCTCATCAGCTGAAAGAATCAAAAGTCTAAGCTCACCTTTGCTGAGGAGCATGTTGCGTGGACAGAGGAGAACTAGTCCAAAGTTTACTTTAAGATGGAGGAGGAAGTGTCCTGGTTTGGGGGATGTTTTCTCCAGCTGGAGTTGGGCCTCTTATACAGCTACATGGCAGGGTGAATGCAAATGTTTATCAGAACCTCCTGCAGAGTCCTGATCTAAACCCAACTGAAAATCTCTGGAAAATCCTTGGTGACAAAGTTATGGCTAAGAAACCCACTACAGTCACCAAACTGTGGAAGAGCAGTGTGAGAAACTAGTGAAGTCCTGCGGCCACAGATGTGCTGAAGTCATTCAAAGCAAGGGCCTCTACACTTCCTACTCTATTTTTGACTGCTTTAACCTTCAGAAATTTTAGTTGTAATCTTTCTTTGTGCTACAATCATTGCTGTTCTCTAATTCTGATCACTGTGTTTTCCACAAAATAAAGTTTTTTTTTGTTAAAGTGTCTTGGTTATTTTCTAAAACACTGTTCTACTAGCATGGTATAGCCAGAACTAAAATTCCTTCAAATTTTGAACGATGGAGATTACATTACTTATGAAAAAAATCAAGTGTTCATAAATTCTCTCATTTTGATCTCCACTGTATATATTCACCATATTATTAATTAATTGCAACATGTAAGCACATAAAACCCTTGTCGTAGTATTATCAGTGTACCTTTCATATGCAGGGTGTTGGAGTGAAAACCTGACACAAATGCTTTTTGTGAGGACCACGACGTCCGTCACTGTTTAACTCAGGTGTAAAGGTGGGCCTCTCTTTTTTGTTGTAGCTCACAAAGTAGCATGAATGGAGATCTGATTATTTCTCTTTCTCTGACAGATTAACATAATCCCGTCATGCTGAAGCTTTTGTCAATTTCCGTATCCACTCAGCCCAAACACTGCAGGAGGTGAGAGGTCATGACTCATTCAGTTCTGATTGCTCATCTATTAACTTTTGCCCTCCACACCTTCTTCACACCAACCAGTTTCTCATGAATCATTCTGATTAAAAAACTGATTAACTCTAGAAGGGTAGTTCACCCCAAAATTAAAATTGTGTCATCTGTAACTCACCCTCATGTCATCCCAAATCTGTATGACCTTCTTTCTTTGGTGGAACGCAAAAGAAAATAATTAGAACAATGTCTCCATGTGTGTCCAAACAATGAAAATCCAGTGTTGTTTGCACCTCATTGTTCTTCGAAATATCGTCTTCAGTGATCCGCAAGAAAGGAAAATGTATAATTCAGATAGACATAAGAGTGAGTAAATGATGACAGAAT